AAAACTAAACAAATGTATAAAAATGTGCAAAAGATTATATTTACTATAGATTATATTTATTATAGATACTATTATTATTACTTTATTATTTATATTAATTTATTATACTTTATTATTTATATTAATTTATTATACTTTATTATTTATAATAATTTATTATATCTTTTTAATGTTATAATAAAGTATATAACTATAGTCTATCTATACAGATATCAATGGATTTATCACATCTACAAATAAAAAAAATAATATGTAGAGATATAAAAAAATGTTTTTTCTAGTTGAAAATCTTTTTCTTTAATTATTTGTTTTCAATATAATATTTTTATTTATATTTGTTTATTAACACAATAAAAAATTAAAATTCTTAAATTTATAATTTATCTGTTCTTTAAAAAATAATTGTAATGGATTAATGAGACTTTTGCAACAAATACTCTTGTCATGTGCAATTTTGATTTTGTTAACAGAATTAATTATCACATTAAAAATAAAAATTATAGCCTAATAATAGCCAATTTTAATGCAATCTATATTTAAAATAATGGAAATTCAGATTTATTATCTAAAACACATTGAAAATATTGATAAATCAATTTTTAATATAAACTCCAAAGATGTTAAATAAATATAGGATAAAAGAAAAAAACAGTTGTTTTGAAGACAACAAAGCTTATTTTTTTTTTCATAAAAAAGAATATTTATTTATTTTTTCTATTTATCTCTCTCTCTCTCTCTCTCTCTCTCTCTCTCTCTCTCTCTCTCTCTCTCTCTCTCTCTCTCTCTCTCTCTCTCTCTCTATGTATATGATTCTTAATTTGAATACTAATTATACATTCATTTCATTTCAGATATTTATGTGTTAAAGTTTTTTGAAAAAATAACAATCAAAAATAAATAGAAAAAATAAAAAAAAAACTATGCTTGCAAAACTATGCACAATTATTATTTTCCAGCGAAATCTCTGTCGTAGTCAATGAAATATATAATGGAGGATTGTGACGTGTAAATGTTTTATTCAAAATTCAAGTGAAATACTCACTGATTTGTGTGTGCTTTAAGTGACATTTTTACTGATTTAATTTAAGAATACTTTCGTCGTTACAATATGACTATTTTATCAATTTATCAACCTATTTAATTTTGTTTATTTAACATACGCCCTGCATTAAATTACTTCGAAGGCAGAATATCTTAAATTGACTGGAGTATCGCAAAGCTTCCATCCGCTTTTGCATAATACATGTAAATGCGGCATCATCCTTGCTTCCTCAACGATCTTGGGACACCGTCCCGTAATCTAGGAAGATGCAGTGCCTCTCTCTTATAAAACGCGACGCGATACCGACTTACGCAGCCTCTGAAATAACATACTCACGTTGCATACAAGAGTTTCCGGTTGAGCTGCATAGTCGAGCGAGTTTCCTCCATGGAGCGATAACGCAAATCCGAACCCTTGAGTCATCCTATTTGCATCCCTCGAGGAAAATATCCTGTAAAGCAATCTCTTTTCCTTGAGCGTTTATAATAAAATTCAAAAGGATGACATTAACTCATTTAGGTCTTGATGTTGCATGTTCAAGTTTGGGTTCCCTTTGTCGGGCATTTCGGGAGACAGTCTTGTCTTATTTATGAAGTAATATTCATCACGATGTTAGACACCAGGCTAAATTCCTCTTGTTATCACAACAATACTGTCACGATCGTTAAATAGATGTGCACCGCGTCTGCTTGAAAATCGTGTCAACGCGTCCGGTACATGTACCCGCACGTACTCCGGGTCACATCCGCCCAATACATTTTCACCGAGGGACAAATCCAGCCGTGTGTAATTCGCTATACACATTCCTGATCCAGATATGAGAATATCACCTCTACGGGAATATCACCGGTCCGTTTCGCCAACTATGGCTATGGACATACGTAGGAATCATTTGAAAAAAATGATTATTAGAATAAGACGCCTATTATTTTTAATATGCTATTCAAATAAGAAAAATATGAGTTTCGAGTTTACAAGTAATCTTGCTTGGTTCAATATAATTACAAATCTTAGTTATGGCATTTAACCATTTAATTGCAATATCTACAATAGTTTAGTTTTTTAACTTTTTTGGTTCGCTTTTTAATCATCGACGATATTTTCGTTGCCGCATCATTAATTTGGCATCTCTTTTTTTAAATAAAATTAAAATGTATCATCATTGAGATCAGAAACGGTTTTAATTGTAAGTATAACTCATGAAAATCTCAATGGAAAAAATCAATTAGTGATAATAGGTGAGTTTTCAAGGTGAAATATATGACAAGAAAGCAAAGAGTCATTAGTGATATTTTCATTGATCTCCCGTGAAATCTTGTCACTGCTTTAATCCCAGTATGATATTTTTACTGACATTCAATTCAAGAGAACAAATTATCAGATGGTATGATAGTGACTTTAACAAATCAAAATTACAAGTTTTTTGAAATTATTTGTGATAAAAATTCTAATATTGCATTGCATTCTCATCAGGTTGTTCTCTCATGCTCTAAATATAACTCGCTACACTGAGAAAAATCGTTTGATTGAAACAACAAGACGTATATGATTAAAGGCATTTTGGTTAAATCAAACAAGAATTTCTAGTTATTATGATAAGACTCGATTTTTTATAACTAGAACGTTTAATAGATTTTACTATAAGGATTTGGTTAATATTTTCTGATTGGATCTATAAAATTTCTTGTTACATTAATTTCTTTGCTTGCCGCTAGGCGGCAAGCCACTCTTAACTTAACTTGAATTCAATATTTGCCATAAAATATATATAAAGAACTAGTATTAACATTAAATCCAAAATATATTTTTTCTCTTACGAGCAGTAGTGCCACAAAGAGGACGCTAGCTCTCTGAATGTGTATGTTTGAGCTGCATCCTCTTCTTGCATCACTGTTTATCAGTTTAATTTTTAACAAACTGAATTTAAAATAATTTATTCAATAATCTGGATTGAATTTAGCCAATAATCTTGTTGAAATTCATAATATTAAACAGATTTTTGAGATTAGATGGGAAAAATTTTAGATGACTTAGTGCTGGGGAGTTTAGTATTATTAACCAGAAAATTTGGTAAATTTAACAGGAAAAAATTAATCAAATTCATCTGATAATTCTTACAAGAATTCTGGTTCGTTCATTTTCCAACAGACATACTGGTTGAATCTACCAGAATTCTAATTAATGCGACCAGATTTTTTTCTCAGTGTATAATTTATACTTGACTTTACAGTTAACATATCTTGATTATTAAAAAACAGTTAGAGCGAGAAATCGATCGTTAAAATTCCATAAGAATTTTAAAACACGTTAAAGAGAATAGAAGGACAATTAGAGTCAGTCTACACTGAGAAAAATCGTTTGACTGTACCAACAAGACGTATATGATTAAAGGCATTTTGGTTAAATCAAACAAGAATTTCTAGTTATTATGATAAGACTCGATTTTTTATAACTAGAACGTTTAATAGATTTTACTATAAGGATTTGGTTAATATTTTCTGATTGGATCTATAAAATTTCTTGTTACATTAATTTCTTTGCTTGCCGCTAGCCGGCAAGCCACTCTTAACTTAACTTGAATTCAATATTTGCCATAAAATATATATAAAGAACTAGTATTAACATTAAATCCAAAATATATTTTTTCTCTTACGAGCAGTAGTGCCACAAAGAGGACGCTAGCTCTCTGATTGTGTATGTTTGAGCTGCATCCTCTTCTTGCATCACTGTTTATCAGTTTAATTTCTAACAAACTGAATTTAAAATAATTTATTCAATAATCTGGATTGAATTTATCCAATAATCTTGTTGAAATTCATAATATTAAACAGATTTTTGAGATTAGATGGGAAAAATTTTAGATGACTTAGTGCTGGGGAGTTTAGTATTATTAACCAGAAAATTTGGTAAATTTAACAGGAAAAAATTAATCAAATTCATCTGATAATTCTTACAAGAATTCTGGTTCGTTCATTTTCCAACAGACATACTGGTTGAATCTACCAGAATTCTAATTAATGCGACCAGATTTTTTTCTCAGTGTATAATTTATACTTGACTTTACAGTTAACATATCTTGATTATTAAAAAACAGTTAGAGCGAGAAATCGATCGTTAAAATTCCATAAGAATTTTAAAACACGTTAAAGAGAATAGAAGGACAATTAGATTGAGTCTACACTGAGAAAAATCGTTTGACTGTACCAACAAGACGTATATGATTAAAGGCATTTTGGTTAAATCAAACAAGAATTTCTAGTTATTATGATAAGACTCGATTTTTTATAACTAGAACGTTTAATAGATTTTACTATAAGGATTTGGTTAATATTTTCTGATTGGATCTATAAAATTTCTTGTTACATTAATTTCTTTGCTTGCCGCTAGCCGGCAAGCCACTCTTAACTTAACTTGAATTCAATATTTGCCATAAAATATATATAAAGAACTAGTATTAACATTAAATCCAAAATATATTTTTTTCTCTTACGAGCAGTAGTGCCACAAAGAGGACGCTAGCTTTCTGATTGTGTGTGTTTGAGCTGCATCCTCTTCTTGCATCACTGTTTATCAGTTTAATTTTTAACAAACTGAATTTAAAATAATTTATTCAATAATCTGGATTGAATTTAGCCAATAATCTTGCTGGAATTCATAATATTAAACAGACTTTTGAGATTAGATGCAAAAATTTTAGACGACTTGGTGCTGGGGAGTTTAGTATTATTAACCAGAAAATTTGGTAAATTTAACAGGAAAAAATTAATCAAATTCATTTGATAATTCCTACAAGAATTCTGGTTCATTCATTTTCCAACAGACATACTGGTTGAATCTACCAGAATTCTAATTAATGCAACCAGATCTTTTTCTCAGTGTGTGAATACAAATAACGTACATCGTAAGGCACCTAAATAAGATCGCGACAGTCAGGATTCGGACGGGATTTTGTTCGCAGCATCGGAGCTACTCGAAGTTCAATATCCATTGTCTGGAGCATCCGATAAGCTACGTTTCGGCGGATGGACCGGTTGCCAGGCTGCGGCAAAACAGCGTGTTCGTGGGTTCGAGCGCGTCGCTACTGTTGTCCAGCCAGGAGACACCTAGACGAGCCAAGAGCGCGTTCGATCTGCAGTCATTGGTACATGCGGAGGTCGCAGATGAAGAAGAGCGCGACGGGGACACTCTGAGGACTCTCAGATCCATCGGCGAGACGTCGCGACTGTTGCAACGCGATCGTCGACCCAGCGTTTATCAGTTCGACCGCATGGACGTTCTGGCGAGGCCGACGGTACAACGGGAACGCGGCATGAGTATCTGTCAGTTCGACCGGACGGACGTTCTGGCGAGGCCGCTGCAGCGCGATCGCGGCAACAGCATCTGTCACTTTGACAGGACGGACGTTCTGGCAAGGCCCACGTTCCCGTCCGGCAAGTCCCTGCTGCGGGAGAGACGCGTCAGCGTGTGCAACTTCCTAGAGAGGTACGAGGATCCGTCGTCCAATAGGAATCTGCAACGGGATCGGCGATTGAGCGTGAGCAATGTCGACAAGATCGAGACTCTGGGAAGATCCTTGTCGCCCAGAGACTTCCGCAGTAGCGTCAACAACGCGTTCGACAACAATCGACAGGATAGTCTCGCGAGATGTAGCGCGATCATAGAAAGGAACAGCTCCGTGCATCATTTCGATCGTCCATCCTGCAGCAAAACGCCCGACGTCGTTCTCGGATATAAAGCGACGTGCGTTTAATCCGCGGGCTACACCGTGCCGAACCAAGGAAATCACCATAATGCCATAACGCCATTCTCCGACAACGATCTCCAGTCCCAGAGATCTACTTTGGACGAAATACGGCTGTGATTATTCCTTTGGTTATTTGCTCTTCGCCTCTCTCGACATCTTTACCGCCTACTCTCTAAAAATGAATCAGTGAAAATATTACTAATTTAAACAGTAAAATAAGATTTCACTGAGAATCAGTCAGTATTTTACTGATCTTCAGTGGAAACGCTTATTTTTTTTGTTATTTTATCTTATATCTCACTGGTTATGGTCAGTTAAAATAAAATTCACTGTAAAATCAGTAAATTTTACTGTAAAATCAGTAATCGCTAGTTCGTTCATTTACCGCTACAATCGTTATCTCTCTCGTATTTAATTTTAGTTATAAGAATTATATAAAGTTTGCAAAGAGCGACATTTAAAATTAGAAGTATTACTTCGATTTAATTTCTGATACAAGCTCAATAGAGAGGCTTCAGATATTAAATCGATCTTTATAAGTCAAATAAATGTCTGGCGACTTAATGAAAATTATTTGTTCGTTATCTATTTAAAATAACAAGTTCAATATGCATGTAATATAAATAAAATAAAATTTTAATATAATAAATATTTAGTAAATATAAATAAAATTTTTAATTTTATATGAAAGATAGAGAGATGAATTATAGTTTAATATTACTGATAATAACGAAAGAAATATTACTGATATTGAGAAATATTACTGATTGAAATAGTCAAAATTATTAACTGATTCTTTCAATAAAATATCACTGATTTACAGTGCTGTACTTATAACTGCTGTAATCAGTGATTATTTACTGTTTTTCAGTGATAATACACTGATTTACTTTTAGAGAGTATATTTCTTTCCTTTACGAGTTCTTCTATGAAAAAGAGCACCGAACCCTTAAATACCTAACCCTTATCTTCAAAATGGGATGCGGCAGCTATCGTCTCCTTCAACAGGATGTTACGGGTTTCCAAATGGCGGTTTCCCTCGTTTCCTCTGCGATAAACGTTCGATTTCGGGCTCGCTCGCTTCGCAAAAGAGAAATCTTCTGATCTCAATCCGAGAGACGTTTTGCATATGAATTTTTCGCAGGATTTCTCAGAGATCCGAATGTGAAAGCGCGATGACTTTCTGAAAATTCTGCGAAAATTGGAATCGCGACGCGCGATAGAAGCACGAATGATGAAGGGCTTTTTTCGTTGTAATTTCTCTCTCTTTTTTTTCTTCTTTTTACTTTTATTGTTTGTTTTTTCCGCTGCGAGCTAATAATGAAACCACCTACCGGGCTCCGATTTGGTCCGCTTCATCATGAATGATACATAACGGGGATGGATTCCTCAGGGGAACGTCGTTAAATTTCCGTTTGTTACTCGACGATTCGTTAGCCGTTTACACATTTTCGATAATTCTGCGCCGAATAATGAAACGTAAGGAATTATAATTCTCTCGTGAGTGTTCTATAACGAGCAAATACGTGCGCGGAATTATCATGATCGTGAGCGAAATCGTTTTATATCTCGAGCAGTCTGGAATGTTTAATTCACGAAGCCTAATTGAACGAAGCAGAGTATGATTAATCCTAAAGAGGAAAAGGGCTTTAAGGATGTTTTGTATGTACAATTCCAGCAAAAAGTAGCTGAAAATCAATATTGACGAATATATCCACTTTTGGTGTATTTTGAGTAAGAAATTGTGTGAAATATTACAATTTGATCTTAGCTACAGTACAGAGATGTATTTTTTAATATTTATTGCGTTTTTATAAAATATTCCGAATTTTGTTAATCAAAATGATTACATGGCCAACTTTATTGAATTATATTTAATATCTTTTTAACCAGTTAGTACCTGTATAATATTATTTGACCAAATATTTCCTCTGTATCTAAACTTTTGCAAATTTTAAACAAATTCTGAATATTATTTCCATGTGGTTTTGTCATTTGAATCGACGTGATTATACGTTTCCCATAAGAACACATGTTAATTCGGTGCAAATTAAAATCCTTATAACTTGTGAATCGATTTAAAAATCATACTAAAGATTCTAAACATATGTAAGGACATTCTGTACAATTTTCATTAAATTCTCAATTTTGAAAATAGGTACAAAACATCCTTAAAATTGATTGATCAATCTTTTCTTTATTCCTGTCTCTCTCTCTTTCTCTCTTTCTGCATCTCTATCTTTATTCTTGTAGACGTAATTATAAACGGAGATCTCCTTCTTTTCTCTGTCTCTTTCTCCTCGAAATGTAATCCACGTAGGGGTAAACCGTAAACACTAACCCTTCTTTGGAGATCTCGTGAATACGCACTTTCTCTACTCGTAAATGTATGTATATACAGGCTCTCGCAAATTGTCTGCACAGCGAAGCAGCGTAAATCGCGTAATAGCGTGTTTCGTTCGTTCAATTTACGAAACTTGACAACGTCATCGAGCATCAACACGAAAGAAACGATATGTGCTCAGGGATTATTTAAAAATCTTTACTCGTCGGAAATAGTCTGTCACTCTAATATAGAATCATGAATCGCAAATCAGTTCTTCGCGCAATTAACATGTTGATTGCCGCTGCACAATTAGATAACTTTGTCCCCGACATCATTTATATCAAGATGTCACTTTAATATTCCATTTATATAATAAATATATTTATTCTATTTGTATAATAAATGTATTTATTTTTTGTAAAAATTCATAAAGATATTTTATATTTTTTTTTCATTAAAAAATCGAGTCGAATTAACTCGAGTATTCGGCAGTCAACATGTTAAATGTCATGTCATTAGACAGAGCCTATTAATTAATTTTTAATGTAGATTAATATCAGATGCGCACTCATTAAAGCATTTATTTTGTAGTCGTTAATGTGCGAAATACGATATTTGGCACATGTACATTTACGTTTAACGCTCAATAATCATTAAAATATCATTGTTGCGTTAATACGTTTCTGCTTTTCGATTTCGGCGGAAATGTCATAATTCCCTCCGCCATTTAATGCTATCGTAAAGTACAAAAGCGTGCAAACCATATACCTATTCTAAAGCCATCGTACGCAATAGAGAAACTAATAATACTCGCCGTCATATCCACGAATATCCGAGTTATACGATATACATATATGTATAATGAAATATGACATATTTTGAATAAATGATAGATTTACACGATATATGCACATACGTACATATATGCGCGAGAATTATAACGTCAGATATTTTTCGGAGAGCCTACATATTTTTATCTGTCGAGATAAGACGAGCATTTCACTCTTAACGAGATTACTTAGACCTAGTTTCTTCGATATAATATAATATAAGATCTACGTTCGATGCTAGAGGATTTTTAGCAAGATTAATGGTCGTATAAGTGTTTGTAGACCGTGCGAAATTAAGGAGATGATCTCACTTGAACCAATGATATCAATGTTATCTCCTTTCAATCTGAAAGTCACGTTGCTAAGAAAGAAAATTAAAAGAGGAATTAAGGTATAATAGGCTCAATGTATACATTTCTCTTTATTAAAAACTCTGGTTTTTGCTCTCCCTCTCTGACATTTAATTAAGATTACAGCAAAGTCATCAAGAAAAAGAAGTAAGCATGTTTAATTCTGGGCATCGCAGAGAGAAAACAGTTTTTAATAAAGCAAAAATACCGTCAAACTCTTGTGCACATTTATGCATGTAAAAGTGAGAATACAAATTTTTTTGCTGGTGTTTATTAATTTAATTTGGCCGCAACGTCATTAAATAATGCATTAATTGTATAATTGAAGGACTCTCAACATTGAGAAAAAACATGCTTACAGCAATATTTAATACCTTGTTGTCTTAAATCGATTAATAATAATTATGTGATGATATATTCTTGTAAAATAAAATATTATCCTTGCGCGCGAGAGAAGAAACCTATTATCTCGCTATTATCAAATTTTATCGTATAATTAGCTCTCCCTCAGATTGAAATTCATTAACAAGGGGACCTTCTAATTAGCCAGTAATAAGACGTAGATTAATGAGATATACTATATGTAGTCACATTCAGACCAAATGTAAGCTTTAAGTTTAAGACTATATAATATAATAATATAAAGATTAGTCAAGACTATTTATAGATTACATTAATTTCGTAACTTCACATTTTAAAACGCGTTCTAATGCAATATTCTTACTTAAAACTTTTAACGACTCAGACTGCTCCAATCAAAAGAATTTTAAGGATATGTGTATTTTACATAGATGTCCGATAAGTCCGATAAGTGTTAAGAAAACTTACATATGCATTTTTTGCACAAAAATGAAGCATTGAAAAAATAATGCGTTTATTTTGTTCAATTTTTCCTTTGACAAACGAGGATGTACATTTGTTTTAAATATGATGAATATTGCCAAATAATTCAAAGTTTAATTATACAGTAATGATAGACATACATGTATATTTCTGGTATTACGCTTGTGAGACTTTTTGAAAATTTCTGCGAAAATATTGAATGTTTTCTTGTACAATCAATTTTTTATTTTTGTTATCCTCGCATACGAAGTTTTTCAAGAACGATGCAATATCAAAGCATCACGAATGAATGAGAATAATGCTAGGCTCTGGTATGAAAGCATGAATGATTAAAAAGAACCTCGATTTATCTAGAACGACCAAATAAACGAGAATTTGGAATGAAAATGTTTTTATTACATGAATTAATATTAACGCATTATGCATCATGCTATAAATTGTGTTTTGAGCGCATTAATTTTATTTAATCATATTATATATTTTAAAGATTTATATATTTTAAATTTTGTTATATGAAGTATAATATATAACATTATAAACGTGAAACTCCGACTAATCAATATATATTAATCATCAACCTTTATTTCCTATATAATTTATTATTGTTATATGCGTTGTATGCGTTAGTTCGACCTATTTGAGTAATTTTTGTAGCAACTTTTGTAAGTGTGTAACATTTAGATAGGGGAAGATAATTTTGTGAATATGTTACAACGGACTTTTTTACAATAAACATTATTTAAAACGATATCGGAATAAAAATGTTTTTCTTAAAAACGTCTCTCTCTAAATTTCATGAAAAATATAAAAGAGTTTACCTCTCGCGTGTTGTTACTG